TCAACCACGGCCATAAGAATAATGAAAAAATAACCCTTGTAGTTAAGGTTCATTGAACCACTATGGGGAAATCTGTTAACTCGTATGTGTTTTCCGTCGATAGCGCCTAAGCAATTGGGGAACTGTGCGGATTTTTTGAAGTTATCTGCTATACGTTGCCATGTTTCCTCCGTAGGCTGCGGGAGAAATTCGTCTTTCAATAAGTTCCATAAAGAGTTGCATACCAAACGAACAGTTTTACTTATTGTGCTTATTCCGATTCTATAGTAGTAGTGCATATCAGTAAATGTTGCTCCAGAAGCAAGGTACCTGAAATTTAAAAAGCACTTTTATCAATATATCGCGAACTAAAAAATAAATCTAAAAATTTTAGTTTTGCATAATTTTATTGCACGCTTCTATGATTTTTAATTTTACTTATAGGTGAAGCAATTCGTGGGAAATGGCAAAATATCCGTGACTCTTTTGTGAAGTCATTGAAGAAAAAATCTGGACAAGCCACTACAAAAAAATATATGTACCATGATAACCTAACATTCTTGCTGAAAGTGGTACAATCAGACGACACGCAGTCAAGTATTGATGACACCCAGGATAACGAGCATTCTCTGTTGAAAGAAACCCAAAACGAAGCCGAGAGGGAGTCTGAAGTACAAGTGCAACTCCAAAAAAATATCAACCCTATGCCTGCAGGAAACAGGAACACATCAAAAAAACCTCGCTTGCAAGAAGATGTAGATAAGAGAATTTTAACAGCCCTAGAAAAGCCACCTGACGAGGATGAGGCATTCTTTCTGTCAATTACTCCATCAGTACGAAAAATGTCAGAAGATGATAAGCTGGAATTCCGCATGAATGTGCTTCAATTAATAAAAAATATTAACATGCGTAACAAAATGCAATCGCCAGCATTTGCCAGTCACACATCTACATCAACCTCTCGATCATCAACGCCATTTTCACACAATACATTTCCACTTTCCAATAATTCCAGTAATAGTCAACATGCTCATGATTTTCAACAGAGTCAACAGCAGTGTTTACCTGGTAATCTAGCCCAGCCTACCTATAATAATCCCAGTTCAACTTTATCTGAACCCACTATAACCTTTTTTCAAGACCTCTAACCTATAAACTTGTTAACAAATAAACATTAAAAACAATAAGATGTGTATTTATTTATATTTACTCACCTTATTGTTACTGCGACCATTTCCTTTGGAGGGATACATGCTCTCATTGGAGTATTTTGATGTTTGATACTGTTTAATAATCGTTCCACTATGAAATCGAAAGTATCAATACTCATTCTGAAGTAATTGAAGAATTTCGAGTTGTCTTTCCTAAGTTTCTCAAAAAGCGTGTAGAAGCTACCTTCTAAGTATCTGACAGTCAGCAGAGGATGCACCCAATGTTGTCTTACTTTTTTAGCTTGTCGATACTTCCTCCTGAGATACAATAACCCAAGGAGATAACGTTTATTAGAAGCAGAAACATACATCTTTCTTTTACCACTGCCAAACACCGAATAAAATTGACGGCACGGAAACGCCGGTATGTGTGAAATTAAATGTTTTCCGGCACAGGAAACGGTACCGGCACCGATTTTGTCGGTGTGTGTGCAAACGGCCTTAAACTAACCGAACTTAAGGATCAGCTGTTTATACACCAGTGTCCTCCACATGTTACGCCTCCAGATAGTAACTAGCTAGTGACTTCCAGTGGTGGTCAAACGTTTTGGTGACGTCACACCCATTTTTTGACATGATTCGGGTGGTTTCGGAACTCGTCTTACCCTTGGATAGCCCTTTCCATACTGTTCTATGCTCGTATTGACGTAATTATAATAATTCTGTGGTGTCCCGTGTTCCAAGACGATTTACCCAGAAAGCCAGGCAGTGACTCATCTGTTGTTTTTGTTTGAGTTGTTGACGAATTTGTGGTATCAACTCCTGACCTTGTTGAAGAGGTACCTGCAGAAGTCACCTGAACGCAATCGGACATCGCCAGAGGAGCGCCTAATGATGACGTTGCAGTAAGTATCCAAATCAGTTCATTTTTGCATAAATGACAAAATATATTGAGGTTATGGTCGTTTTCTTAATTTCAAGGTCACTTCTTAAATTAAAGTTCAATATATTGAACTTTTCCTTAAGAACCAACCAATCGGATCACTAGCGTTGGTCAGCTGATCGCTACAGCTGGAATTAGAAGATGGCTACGAGCCATCGATACTGTACAAAAGTCGATAGTCGATATTTATATCGTGATGTTTGATCGATTTTATATCGCAGTATGGGCAGATGGTTCGGTGATACTTGTATGAAAAATTATTTGCGCTTGCTTACGCATGACAGTTTAGAGCTGAACATCGGGGCGGATTGATAAAAAAAATCATGTATGTTAAAAATTATAATAATTAAAGTCAGTGGTCATGTTTCCTTCATAAATTAGATCAAAAAACAGCATGAAAAAAATACCAAGATAGAGGATTTTGAAATTATATTCTAGAGAACGAAAAAAAAAAGGGAAATGATCTTAAAATTTTGTGCTTGTAGTACTGACTTCATAGCTGATAGATGCAAACACTTTCATGTCTGAGACTGTACCAGTGGTGATGTTGGCAAATTATAGCCCCTACAGAAGAAAAAAGAGTATTTAAATCTATACCATGCCCCCCATGACATGTTTTTCCAAAACCTCACAGAACACTGTGAAGGTACTTTGTCATTAACTACAAACCAGGTGTACACCTGACGAATGCTGTGTATTCGCAGCCCACCAAATATGTAATCTCTTTTGACGTTTATTGAGGTAAACAGATTGAGTAGCACGTAACTTTTTTTGTGACATCTGTACTGTTGGTAATAACAAACCTGGTAAAGGGCCAAATTAAGGACTGGCATTTGGTATCACCAATGAAAATTTTTTTTTAAACACAGAATTTTGGCAATCAAATGTATACTGCTAGATTGGGAATTTATACATATGTACAGAGCAGTATCATCTGAAGGGGCGTGGTGAGATGACTATGTTTCTGTTTAGTGCTTGCTGAAAAAATATGACAGTGATATTATGCTAATAATTTTTTTTTTGTTTCACAGTGTCAAAATCCTTCGAGGAGGCAGTTGGAATGAAGATCGTCATTTATTTTATGGATACCAAATTAATTGTCAATGAGAGTTTGTTTCCTAGTTTGAAGAAACAGTTACTGTTTTATGTGTTTTTTTTTGTTGAGGACAATTTTGTTTGCCTTTACCCATTAAACAGTGTGCGCAAAACTATTTTTGATTCACATATCAGAGTATTATATTTGTATTCCAGTCAGTCCTCTACCTACAGATGTATTTTTTGTTATTTTAGTATTTATGTTTTCGCAATAAATATACCTGATCAATTAACAAGAGATAGTGCTTGCATGATATTGCACTGATCAGGTTCATAATATAGAGAAAAATCCAGATGAGTAGAATACCTCTATGTATGTACAATTTATTGTAATGAAGAATTTGTTCTATTATTGCTGTGACTGTTCAGTAAATATTTTTTTAATTATACATTTTTTTATTATCCTGATATTCATTACTAGTCAAACTGATGAAAGAAATACTCCCTTTATTGAGGATGTGTTATGCATCTATGATCATCGAACTGCCTCAATATCGGTCGTCAGTCAGATTTCATAATGTAAACAAATGAAATCGCCGACACATTCCTGACATTCCTGATATGCGTTGTCGGCATACTTTCAATATTTATAGTTCCACCAGATTTCCAGCCAAGAAAAGTGGCGCTGCCGTCGAGGTTATAGTCCAAGAAATATCTTCACATCTGCTCAGGAAAATATTCGGATTCGGACTTTTTGCATGTTATTCGAAAAAGCCTCCTAGTAACAAATCTACATGTTGTCAGGCTCCAAATTGCGTCTCTAATTGTTTGAACAACTTTTTCAAATAAATTACAAAAATTAATGTTTTCGCTTCATCAAAGGTAGCATTCGTTTTTTTGATACTCCGAAACAAAATGATGTTTGACAATGTTTGTCAAAAGTTGATTTTGTACGAGATGGGAAAGTACAAAAAATTGATTTTGCGATACCGAAAAACGATCTGAAAAAACGAAAATGTTAATGTCGCCATGCTTCATAAATAACCATTAACGATACCTTTTAGGAGATACTGATGTTATAAATCTTTGTATTTAGTTTATATGCAAGCGGACGCTCAATGCATATTCAGCGTGCACGAGAGATATTTCATCTCTCTCGCGTTCACATAGACATAGACTATAGATTGAGCGCGCATTCAAATGCTCTGGGGGTTTTGTTATTGGTTGGTTGAAGCATGTGTGAGATTTGGCAACAACAAAATATTCATTTTTCATATTGTTTTTAGGGTAGCAAATGACATATTTTGAGTTTTTACATTGCTTATACCTGTATATATCAAGTCTAGAGAAAAGTTATAAAGCTCATTTTTTATTTAGAATGTCCTAAAAACCGCAAAATACTTTAAACAAAGCGAACAAATCAATTTTTGGAATCGGTTTAATAACAACTTTTGGAGCAATTTTGGGCCTAGTCACATGCAGATTCTTTAAGAGGTCCTTGAATCAGATTATGCAAAAATAGGAATCGGAAGAGTTTTCCGAGCAGATGTTCCCATATTATCTGGACTATTATCCGAGTTCTTTGACCTGCATTGGCGCAAGCGTGTGGGGAGGGGCCACTTGTCAACGTCAAGGCTGGCCCGCCAGTCCACGTGACACATAAGCCACAAAACACTCTTTCATCTGCTACTTTGACGTTAAACATATGATTATTTAAGGGTATTTAACTTTCATGTTGCCTCAACTGCTACGTTGGCAATCCTGGCCGCGCATGCGCATGAAATGCTCATTTTCTTAAGTTAAGTTAGCTTAAATCGTGCATGAACCCACCATTACACTGCAATTTGTTAATTAAAGCCTGGCATAAACCTGTATGATCATAGTCATAAGAATGAACACTTACGAACTTGAAGACAAGCTGTGCTACGCAAGTATGTATAATGTGTAAAGGTTCTGAAATTGAGTCCATGGTAAATTGACAATCAAGACTTCAGGATATTAAAAAGAGCATGGGCATGTAGGAGCACTAATTATGAGACATTACAAGGTGCAAATGGGAAAATTGAGTTGCAGCATGAAGTTAAATTCTTCATTACTTCATACCATCATGGCAGAAAATTCCACAACTAATTACAAGAAAACTGGGAATCAATTCCCTGCTTAAGGAATGTCAAACACTGAATAGGACTGATATTTCAGGTGCTCGCCTTGTTTTACAATATTAGCCTTGTGGGCATATATATACATATATATATATATAACTTGAGACGTGGTCATTGTCGTCTAGACCAGTTAGGTGAAAAATTAAAGCTTCCGCCTTTTGTTGGGTACCTCGACAAAATTTAAGCAAAGAGGACTCTTTATACTTTTTTTAATTCTCTCGAGCTTTCAATGGACTTTGCCATCATCATCAGGAGAGTAGTATGTGAGGATGTTGCTAATTGTTGTTTACGTATAGGATGAGGGAAACGTCCAGTAACATGGTGAGAGCTGGATAGATTGTACAATAGTCAAACTTATATAAAATATGACAAGAACAAGTTAAAAACAGATTAAAAATTATTTAAAAAATTTTTTTTTTTTTTTTAGAGCATTACATCGTGAAGCCACAATTTAGTGGTCATGGAATGATGAGTGACATGAAACCCTTTACGTAAGCAACAATTAGCAACATCCTCACATACTACTCTCCTGATGATGATGGCAAAGTCCATTGAAAGCTAGAGAGAATTAAAAAAAGTATAAAGAGTCCTCTTTGCTTAAATTTTGTCGAAGTACCCAACAAAAGGCGGAAGCTTTAATTTTTCACCTATATATATATATATATAGTGATATAAGCAGAAAAAGTTTTTTTTAAATGGGAAGCTGTCATGAAAATGTATCATATCAAAACTTCAAACTGTCAATTTCAAATATTTTAATGTTCTGTGTATATATTATGTGTATAAATTGTGGTTTTTAGTTCCTGTTGATAATGCAGACTACAAAAGAAAAATATTCCTCAAAAATAAAAGCTTCAGCTGCTGACCATGATAAACAATACAACAATGTGATTGGAAATAAGAAAAATGATGCAGTGAGTGAGTGAGCCTCAGTGCAAAAACAAAGCGTAGAATCGATTCAAACACAGAACAGTTCAATATTTAGAATTGACAGCTTAACCAAGGCCAACCTATATTGTGATCAAGGTGTAAACATTGGTAAAAATAATGTGAGGGATTGATATAAGATAAAGAATGCACACGTCGTATGGTAAACAAAATAACAGACTTTATTGCAGGAACGAAGAGTGGTTACAAGAATTGAACAAAATCTGTCTGTGCCTCGATATAATTCTAATCTTTATAGGAAAAATAACAGAGCTGTATCGAAAAAAAGAAGTAAAAAGCAAATATTTCTTAATGGGCTTGCTTGCCATACAATTCAATTTGTTGGAATAATGGGCTTGTACCACATAGTTATGTTACCAACAGGATTCCATAACTCCTCCCTCCTACGAAAAGTTGGTCTCCAACTTAGAGAAAATTTAATTTACAGTTACAATATGGTTCCAAAGCTGTAAGAGTCGTAAGAAAGGTTTTGAAACTTAATATGAACTATTATTACCAAATGATTTTGGTAATAAGAAGGATTTAAAAAGCTAAAATTGCTTTCATGTAAAGGCAATGATAATTCAATCTGCTTGCAGTCTTTAATATCAATTGAAATATTAGTATTAATAGTATTTTAAGTGAATATGAGGACAATTTTCCAACATAGATGGCTTACATGTGCCTGTTTAGTAATTAAAAACATAAATGCGGATTGTTACTTAGTTTGATTAAATTAGAGCAAAATCTTTCTTCTTCAAATTACAAAGTAAAATTGCTTGGGATCTTTATTAATTCATTCCTTATAATTAACGGATACAATTCAAAAACACTAAGTTTTTATGGTCAAGAAGAGGTACATGAATTACGAATATGATTCATTTCGCAAAGTTACAATTGATAGTTCGCAAAGATTCAGTATCTCGAAAGGGTGCATGGTTTCAAAATCTAACAGATGATCTTTATTTTATAAAGTTTGCAAATGTTCAATGAGGATCTTTATTTCCCTATGATTTAATTAAAGAATGGATAGGACGCTCAAATGATTAATTTGAATTTAAATTTATTTGATGTGCGATTTGCTCGAAGAATTTCATTTGAAAAGCCATATTTTGTGTAACAGAAACTATGCTTTCTTGGATATTGATAGTATTGTGCTCAAAAGTGCCTTGCAAACCTTTACAGAAGAAAATAACTTTTTAATTCTGTAGATTCAATGCGTGTTGATTTTCACGTAGTTTTGGATTGGTTATATAATTTAAATTAATAAGCAATTGAGTTTTATGACGATTTTCGATTAATCTTGAATTTCCTAGCGGCAGTTTGATTACCGGAGGTGCTTTGAGCAGAGGGTTCATCAGTAGCGCTCGAATTGGTAGGTATTGGACTGGTAGAGCTCTGCAAAGGATTTTTACGTAGAGGCTTGATTCGTCTCAGCATGTGTTTTCTATCTTTGATTAAAATTTGATTTCCTTGTTGTTTGAAAATAGTGTGTTTTTGATATTTTGGTTTGTCCTTAGTTTGTCTGATTGGGATTTTGATATAGATCGGAGATTTTAAAACGGGGATCTTAGATACGCGTTTTTCGTTAATTTTGTTAGTTTGTTTTTTTAATTAATTATAAGAATCGTGAGCGATTTGTTCATTAATTTTGTCTTTTTCTAACATTTGTTTAAGGCGTGATGAATAAGGGTCTTCAGTACTACCGTATAATAAATCAAAAGGTGTATGTTTTGTAGTAGAATGAACAGATTGATTGTAATTCAATATAACGTCAGTCATTAGGTCAGTAGTAGTGTCTGTTTTTCGAGTCTGTCTTAGGATTCGAAATTTTTCTCCAATGGTACTATGTAATCGTTCAATTGGTGCAATAGAACTAGGATTGCTGGTGCTTTCTAAGTGCAAATGTATTTCATGAGCTTTACAATAATCTTTAATAACTTCTGAACGTAATTCTCCATAATCGGCATGAAGTGATTTTGGAAATCCATGATGTGAAATGTTTCATTTTAGATAGTATGTCAACGTGATTTCGTGACATGGTCTGATAGGCTTGGGCATATCGACTAAAGTGGTCTATAAAAGTTACATATTTACTATTTTCAATAGTAAAAATATCTATGAACACTAGTTGGAATGGTTTGTTACTGAAAAATGGGCCTTGGATTGGTTCTTTGTAAGGTTTTCGTTCGTATTTAGCTTTTAAACAGATTTCGCATTTATTAATGATGTCAGTTATAAGGTCTTTAAGTTTTGGTGTATAGTGAGTCTTTTGGAAATGAGAATAAGTTTCATTAATTCCGTTGTGAAATTTATGATGGTACAAAGTTATTTCGTCTTTCATTTCTTGTTTGTCTAAATAAATTGGTTTGAATGCAGCTTTTTCTAGTAGTATGTTTTGCAGAAAAAGATTGTGTCATAATTTTACTAAGTATGGGCAAAAGTTTCTGATCGTCGTACCAAATTCCGTATTTAATACCAGGGGTACAATAATTTTTTATACAATCCAAAATAAATGAGGAACATAAGTGATTAATTAAAGAGCACCTTAGTGTCTTATTCGGAAGTAATTTGATCTTATTTTTCTTTTTACCTGTTATAAATTCAATTCGGTGAGGATAAGCATAAAAGTTTTTGTCTGAAAATTGAATCGAGTTTGGGTTTTATTCAGGCAAAGTGTGTCTCGTATTAGTTGATCTGTTGTCTGTTTCGTGAATAATCATTTCTGATTCGGGTGCATTAGGGATCATTGATTCGGTTTCGAGATAATCCTGAACATTTATCTTGATTCGGCTTAAGGCGTCAACAACTAAATTTGTTTTGCCTTTTTAGTATTTGATTTCGAAATCGTATTCCTCAAGTTTGATTTTCCATCTAATTAATCTCTGGTTTGGTTCTTTTAAATTTGATAACCACACCAAAGGTTTATGATCAGTCTCAATCAGAGATGTATGTCCAAATAAATATGGTCTAAAGTGTTTGCATGAATCAATAATGGCTAAGAGTTCTTTTTCAATGGTGGAATAATTTCGTTCAGCAGAGTTTAATGTTCTTGAATGAAAACTGATAGGTCTTCCGTCTTGTGATAGAACACTTCCTATCGCAATATTTGAGGCATCGGTTGTTAACGTGAATGTTTTTGAAAAATCAGGATATTGGAGTACGGGTGAATTAGTGATAGTCTTTCTTATTACATCAAAAGCTTGAATGTAATCAGGATCTGAAATGTTGATTTTTTGTCTTTCTTTAAACATTTAGTGAAAGGTTTGGTAGTTTTGGCAAAGTCTTTAATGAATTTTCTGTAATAGTTTGTTAGTCCTAAAAATGATTGAATTTGTTTGATAGTTTTTGGTATTGGAAAATCTTGAATGCATGTGATTTTATCCGGATTTGGTTTAATTCCGTTTGGCGTTATTTCATGGTAAAAAAAATAACAGACTTTATTGCAGGAACGAAGAGTGGTTACAAGTATTGAACAAAATCTGTCTGTGCCGATATAATTCTAATCTTTATAGGAAAAATAACAGAGCTGTATCGAAAAAAAGAAGTAAAAAGCAAATATTACTTAATGGGCTTGCTTGCCATACAATTCAATTTGTTGGAATAATGGGCTTGTACCACATAGTTATGTTACCAACAGGATTCCATAACTTATCTTGCAAAAAAGTTAATCCTGATATTGCCAACAGAAGTAAACTAAGAACGATAGAGAGCTGAATGATCTTCATAAGAAGGAATTTACACATTCAGGCACATGGAAGCATCCTAGCACCACTGAAAAAGCCAGTCCTGTAGTAACCACACCATTTTGAAACACATGAGTTTGCCTTTTGTGTTCGATATTGTTACAGTAGAATTTGTTAGTTTAAGGAATGCATAAGCCTGTATGTATAATCATAAGAGTTTTAAAGTTATGGAGCTCAAGATGAACTTTGTTATGCTTAGGCAATTGGTTCTCGAATGGTTAATGTTGCATGTTGGATAGCTGAAATGTCGTACAGAACTCGATAAAGTGCATTCTTGAATATTGTAATCGACATTTTTATTCGACGATTTTCACAAAGCTAAGGCTATGTAGAAAATCATTACCTTTTTCTTCGTTATTGACCACCTTTGGCCAACAATTGTCCTGAGTAATTAAATACTTCACACAATGGAAGCACAGTAGCAAATGATGACAATGACAAAAATAAAATTCCAGTGGTGTAACTAAAGACTATATGAAATACATATTTCAACACTTATGGTTGTATCGGTTCTAAGGAGTAAAATGTAAGAAATCACCCTTTTAATGGTATTTTTTCAGATCTACTTGCATTGCTCAAAGATACATTCCATCCTGAGAAGCCGAGATTACAAGATACTGTTGCAGGACGGAATAATTCTACTGTAAGGCACGTTATTAGAGGAAAAAGAAGAGTCGATATATATTTAAATTGTTTGTCCACACAGCGTTTTGTTTCTAGAGCTTCTAATTTTGAAAGTAGCATACAATATTGTTAACATCATGATGAAACATTTGTTTTAAGAGAAAAGAAGAATGACAAATTGATGAAACCTGTATTTCCATATATTTCTGAAAGAGCCTATTATATTTCTAAATAAATATTGATTTTACCAATGATGCTTTTATTTACTTTCCACAAATACTTGTCATCTGAAGAGTATAATACATGACATTGCTAATGAACTCATACGTAGTATGTCAAAACGTAAGTATCACCAATACAATGATGACTTTATATCCAAAAGGTACAGTGTATCACAATAACCTTTATTCATTTTTAATTTACTTACATAAAATATACAGGGTGTTTTCCAATTGAATGTCTATATTTAAGGGGGTAAACTTTGAGTCCATTTTAAGACGAATATTTCATATGACGTATATAATAAATCTCTTGACCTTTGAGAAACAGAGTGGTAAACATTCCAAAAATTAATAAAATCTTTGTAAAGATGTGGAATACCACTTTAAATACTTTATCAAAGTTTGGCATACATGGACATCAAGAGGTATTTGTAATGTAACATTCTTTCAATTCCCACCAGTGGCGTTCGTACGAATTTCACTTGCCTATTTTGGCAGACAATGATAGTAGGCAACTGATTTCTCTTAAAATAAAAATTGCTCTTAAAATCATCAGTGACTTCTGAGCAAATTTCATGAAATTAAAATATTGTTCCTTTGCATGAAGCTAATATCGTTAGTATCACAATGTCACTATGTATAAACAGTATTTTTGAAAAGCATTTTTTTTGTCAGACCTATGATTTCCACCCAAAAAATCGAAACTATTTCGCTGCATGGTGATATTGTCATATTAACAATATTCAGACAGTTTTTATTTTTATGAAAACCGTACATCAGATTGAAAAATATTCAAGTGATTAAATTTGCTTAGATGTGATTAAACATTTTAATAAAAGAGACATCAGTGGCATACCATTACTGCCTGTCAAAATTAGCAGGTGAAGTTCCTTAATAGCATCACTGAATTGCAGCTCCTAGTATTACAAGAGGTAAATGCACACTTTTGAGCCAAAGATTTTTTTTACTGTTTCTATCATAACTAACAAAGTCTGCTTTTCACATGAGTGTTTCAAATATAAAACCAGTTTAATTCTTGATATTTATTTTTCAACCCAGAAATGCTTTCCTTTCACATGCTATACTTTTGATAGATTTTCCCTTTTAAGTTGGGGTTCCAAATCAATTAAAAACTTTCTGTATTGAGATTTGAATTTCTTAATAAAATGATTGAAAAATTTAAGTTTCCTTACTTTTTTTCCTTATACAATATGCTACAATACTAATATATGGTGCAAAACATTTAGAAAGTACAACATACTGTTCTTTGAGGCTCAGTGCATCGATCTTATTATTGCCACTGATGTATTTTTTTGGTATCCTCAGTAGCTGGAGTTTCAATTATAAATAATAAATAATTTAAAACCACAATTTATACCTAGAAGTTTAAATTCAAATGAAATTTTGTATCTCAGAGCCAGGTAAGACCTACCTGTAATGATCAGCAAATTTACTTAACTTTATAAGTTATGTTAAGTCGTATATGGTACAATACAAGACAAATTATCTGAAACACAATTACGTTATTATCTCACTTATTGGGGCTTAACCTAGCCTGACTTTGACGTACACTTTTCAAAATAACAATGATAAATGGTAATTACAATTTTCACATACACATATTGTACATATTTGTAGCTTGACACTTCACATAGAGTCCGGTAATGATTTGTGAACAGGCATCTTGACATCAACAATTCAATTGCATTCGGGATATGTTTGTTATCCATGGAGGAACCAACTTCTCGTAAAGTCTGTTTGAATGAATTGCACCTGAAAATACTGCAATAAGAATATAATATGAATATCCAATGATTTGTTTTGTAACTTACCAACCTTCATCAAGAGAACAGCTTGGTTGTAAGCTTCTGGACTTTTATACAGGGAATTGATTCCCACAGTTTTCTTGTAATTAGTTGTGGCATTTTCTGCCATGATGGTACAAAGTAATGAAGAATTTAACTTCATGCTGCAACTCCATTTTCCCATTTACACCTTGTAATGTCTCATAATTGGTGCTCCTACATGCCCATGCTCTTTTTAATATCCTGAAATCATGATTGTCAATTTACCATGAGCTCAATTTCAGAACCTTTACACATTATACATCCTTACTTAGCACAGCTTGTCTTCAAGTTCGTGAGTGTTAATTCTTATCATTATGACTATGATCATATAGGTTTGTGCCAGGCTTTAATTAACAAATTGCAGTGTAGCACATATGTGCATTAATTTTCCTAACTCAACAATTTCTTGAAGATACCACAGGTTGTGGAATTTGTTCAATGTAGCGAGATATTTTTGAGTGATCGATAAATAATTATTTGCAAGAATATTATAAATTATGGTTCTGCTGTCATGTGACTTGAACGTCAAAACAACCTCAAGCCAGAACTGTCAGATGTCGGAAATCAAAAGGCAGGACATACATGTGCGTTAACGAAGAAGACGTAATATTATCGAAATCAAGAAGGCCATAAACGAGCCCTACAATAATTGTAGGGACGACTGACGATACGGGCCTTGGGGAGCCAAATCCTAAAGAGCCACAAAAGTGGAAAATATGCAAAATTTAATTGTATGAGTCTGTTTGACTAACTTTGATCCGTTTATTTTTTGTATTATGCATGTTCGCAGCTAACTTTTTTTCTCACAGGGACCAACTAGTGCCAAACATAATCCTTTAAGAACTGACGACAGCTTTGCGTAGGAAGTAGAGTCAACCTACTTGATGCAATTTTTTTCAACTAAATCTGTTTTTTTTCTATTTGTAAACATCTAGACGGGAAGCTCCTCAGTATACTCACCATAGTGTGCATTAGCACTCGAACATGTAGTGTAATTAGGGTGTAACCGAAAATGTAATCCTATATATTTCTAGTTAAAGCCGATTTATAGTTTTTATGCCGATACCACAAAAATAGCTTGAGCTATAGGAAAATAACGATTTGAAAAATAAACTTCGGCACCATGCATGACATTAGTGTGAGGTATTTTTTTAAGGCATATACATTTTGAAAAATGTGGACCACAATGTTTCTTTGGCACATTCGTCCCGACAATCCTATAAAGAGTAGAAAAAGAACAGCAGTAATGTGTTAGGAAAGAAATCATTGTATAATGCACACATTATTGAATATATCGTGAACTTTTATTCAATTGGTAGCGTTTAAAAAACGATGTCCTTTATGAGTCTCCATCGTAGGGTAGTTACATCATTTTTTTGTGTATCGGTTGCACCCGAAAGATTTACTACCTATTCTGAATAGATATTAACTTTCAGAACGTCTCTAGAGCTTCCTAGGTGTTCTACATTCTGAGCACCCCAATTTTAAGCATAAATTATCGGATTTTGTAGGGAGCACCAAGTCAATTTTCTCAAGTTCTATATATTTTTATACTAAAAGTGGAAACCTTCACTATATTTTAGGTGACAGCTACCTCTTCAACCTGACCCCTCCGTCCACTGTCTTTCTTTCCTGAGTTCGATAAGAGGCCATTGTCAAACTGGTGCAGAGGTAAATTATGCCTTGAGGGCGCGAACAGGAAGCAGAAGAGGAGAGTGAGGGAAGGGTTCGATGGAATTCATTACGACCTTAGCGTCCTGAACAACTGAAATGTCGCCACCACGACCGCTCACTGAAAGAGGAGGAAGAAAATAAAAAATAATCGATTTACAGCCACAGAACTAAAAATTAGGAAGAATAGAAATTACACTTTTCGGTGTAATTCCTAATCCCTATAGCATTTGATACGAGGGAATCGCATAATCTCTGTGATTATCATAGTAGTCAATAGTCTTAGTGATTTCTCACATTATTTTTTTCTCCAATTATAGCCAAATCTCAGCTTTCAAGCAATTAATCCATAATTATGTAACCTACTAAGAGCCATGATACAATTTATAGAGCCCTGGCTTTAAATGCAAAAAATGGCGTAAGTTGACCCTGCACTTCCGACGCAACACCTTTATCAGTTTATAAAGTATCTAGTTGAGCCCAATTTGAATCCTATGAGAAAAAAATCAGCTACACCGATCATTCACCTCCTTGCCCTTCCAAAGTAAACATAGCATTTTACTGAGGAACCAACTTCTCGTAAAGTCTGTGATAATGAATCATACCTGAAAATAATGCGATAAATATATAATATGGATATGCAATGATTTGTTTTGTAACTTACCAACCTTCATCAAGAGAATAGCTTCGTTGTAAGCTTCTGGACTTTCATACACACAAATATAATATTATAATATATCCATGTGCATTAATTTTCCTAACTCAACAATTTCTTGAAGATACCACAGGTTGTGGGTATTTTTGAGTGATCGATAATTATTTGCAAGAAAATTATAAATTATGGTTCTGCTCTCTGCTGTCATGTGACTTGAACGTCAAAACAACCTCGAGCCAGAACTGTCAGATGTCGGAAATCAAAAGGAGGACATACATGTGCGTTAACGAAGAAGACGTAATATTATCTAAATCAAGAAGGCCATAAACGAGCTCTACAATTGTAGGGACGACTGACGATACGGGCCTTAAATACTGTCACTGTGTTTCTTTTGTTTGTCGAGTGTTTGTGTATTACAACCTTGATGTGCACGACGCACTTAATCAAAGGTAACCTGCCAGCAACAACTAAGGATGCTAAAGAAGAAAATCAACAACAAAAGTAAATACCTGAATCAAAGTACCCGTCAGGCACATCTGCAGGAGATAAAACATACTGTTTAAATTCGGCGACAGATTGAGACCTCAACCGCTGTGGCA